GCCGGTCCCGGGCCCGTAGGAGGGGCAACGGAGCCCGGGAAGCACGGCGGGGGGTCCGGCGGGGGGAGTGGCCCCTTCTTCGGGACGCAGAAGCGATCTGGCGACAGGTAAGTCGCCAGGATCGCTTCTGTTGTAAAGTCGGCTCTACAAGTTTAAACAGAGTCCCGGCGGCAAAAGTCACCGGGAGTCTGTTTAAACAGCCCCGATGCTAGTGACGTACATGGTACGTCGTCAGTCACGAAGGGGTTAAAAATAGGTCTAACAAATGCCATACCCCATACTATACCATAGCATAACATAAACTCTGTATTGGCTTCATATTAATATTGAAATGCAGAAATCAAAAGCAAATTAGGACAAATAGACACACTATCATTTCCAGGATAATACATGCTGCAGATCAGCAGAACAGTTAGTACACAGGGGATTTTTTGTGGTTAGATAAGAGTTCTGGTTAGTTGGATTCCGGATAAGAGAGTTTACTGTATATTCATTTATTTTTTGTTATAAATAAGTAAAGACATATGCATAAGAAGATAAATGTTTCTGATGTTGATATCTTGTGGCAATCAATTGAAATATTGTAAAATAATAGTGGCTTAGGCTGGGGGCGGATTTTGCCTTTGACAACAGAAATTTGTAAATATTGGGATATGTTGGATGTCCGATAGATTTCCTATGATTGGGAATACTTAGTAAACATTATTGAGAAACCATCAGCCTAGCTGTGATGTCAGATGGCCGCACTTGAACCCGGCAGATGCAGCCTGTATAGAGGAAGTGATACAAATCAACTATACAGACGCCATACACACTTGAAAAAAAGTCCTAAGTGGGTGAGGCGCATTGCGATAGAGTAAGGCACCCCAGCCGCATGTGGGCCCTGTACCGGATACCCGCTGCTATATTATTGGATGGAACATGTAATCCCAGCACTTCAGGGATGATCAGGGTGAGATCGTGCCATATATCTGTACAAATAGTGGATAGAGCACAGCACACACAGGGTTGCCGTGTAGCATGTGTGCGTAGACATTTCTGGCACCTCAGGACGTATGGGTAGACAACATTTTTGTTTGTTTTCCATGTAGAGGTTCTCCACCTTCAATCCAGGATTGCAACACTATAACAAACAGTAATCTTTTATGTTGCACAGTGAACAGCGCTAGTGGAAAATTATTACATTGCAATGACTTTCTGATACATAAGATTCAGTGAAGTGTCACTGAGATATTTGGTCTCCCGATTGGATGTTACAAGTTGCTGGATTTGTTACATTGAGGACATTTTCGAAACACATATGATGATCAATAGAGTTGCTTCCAATAATGATCTTTTATCAGTGAAACGGGTTCCAATAAACCATTCGCCCCTGTGATCGGGACTTTTCTCATATCATCATATATGCGATCACAGGCTGGGTTTCTACTTTTTTTTAGGGAGGGATTTTTTGTGGGTATTTATTGTCATGTATTGTTTTTGGAGGTAGTTTTATATACATAGCATTACTTGGTAATAAATGTTTTTACTATTTTGCAGCAAGAAGGTTTTTGGGGATGTCACACATTTGAACCTTCTTTCATGTCTGTTTGAAGTTTTTTAGTTACCTCTTTTTCTGGTGATACCTGTAAAATTGTGAATTTCCCATCACTTTCGGTCTCGGTAACTGTGGTTACCAGGACAGTTAGAGAGAATGAATTTATGTAGTGAGTACACAGACAATAGCAACTTGACAGGGGTTCTTATTATTTCCTACTCTACCCAAAAATAGAAAAAACTTTTGGCTGTACATACACTTTAAAACTGCTGGAAGCCACTTAGATGTGGACACAGCCTAATTTTTCAACTTTTTTGTTACAGGGAAAAGTATTTCCAAAACTGAGAAAAAGGAACAGCACTAATAAGTCAATAGACTTTGATGACAGTATTGTGGAAGAGTTAACAACAGACTATGTCTTCAGAATCATCTACTCTGGACATAAACATGACAACAGTAAGTCGGCTTGCAGTACTTGGTTATTGTATTTGTACACACAAGACATATAAACGTGTCACTACATGAAAACAGTAAGTCAGCTTGCAGTACTTGGTTATTGTATTTGTACACACTAGACATATATACGTGCCACTACATGAAAACAGTAAGTCAGCTTGCAGTACTTGGTTATTGTATTTGTACACACAACACATACATGCATGCAACTCTTTATTAGAGACTTAAACTTGTTATGTATGGATTTACTTTGATTTTACATTTGGATTCACCTCCATGCATTGGCAACACCCTAAAGACAGATGTATTAATACGCATAATTTGAGCTTTCTAGTCAATTTAGTAAAGTATGTGAAATACAGAATGCTAGTCTACAGTTTTAGCCCTGATGAAGGGGAAGTAGCAGAGCTCCTGTAGCACAATGACGTTTCTACTTTACCTTAAAGAAAGCCTGTTTGGACTGCTGGAACGCACTGTATCGCATAGTACACTTCCCCCTGTGTTCTGTGTTCTGGGACGGGAGGGGGCAAGGCGGTGCATTGAAGTCAATGGCATCGCGGCTACACCCCTCACCCACAGCGCGATTGCCTGCACCAGAACGTGTGGCACATCCGTGCCTGCTTTGCGGTCCAGTGCAATCGTAAAAAGTGCTGCACTATTTTTGTGGCTGTGGTGCCATTGACTTCAATGCACCGCCACGCCCCCTCCCGCCCCAGAACGCAGGGGGAGTTTACTATGCGATACAGTGGGTTGCAGCAGCTAACCGCATTGGAGCGCACTGTATATGGTGTGCACAAGCCAGTTCTGTACACATTTATCTATTTCTGATGTATAAACTTAACATCTAGTTGGTATTGCCTTGTCCTCTGTAGACTAGTATTCAATACTGTACCTAATGCATTAAGTCTTAATGATATGTCCAGACTTCTGCCAACTTTTTCCACTTCCTCCTTCCTAAGTAGTTACAAAGATAATTAACACAATCACAGATTATGTGCAAGGGCTTTAAAGAGAAATGTTGCCCTTATTTTTTTAAGATGAAGAACAATGTGCAGAATGCAGTAACTCACATCAACCAATCAGCAATCATCTATCTTTTGTTCAAAATTGAAGTACCTCCTTTGGTTATAGAATAAATAAGTCTATGTGTCTTAATATTGGTACTTTCCAAGGACAAACGGATCAGTCGCCAATATTGCCTGCAGGCTCCCTGCAGCTGATTTATCACCTTCTTGGTAGAGGAACAAGACTTTGCATCCTCCTGCCAGATGTGTAAGACTTCCAGTGTAAATCATATTATGATTGTGATTTAATGGCTGATCAGAGGACAACTATCTCCATGATTCACTCACACTACTGACACATTTGCCAGTGACAAAATTATTCAATACACAGGACTTCTGACACACTCAGAAACTTCTTATAGAATATAATGGGATTCAGCGGGTCTTAGTGGGCAACTTCATTACAGGGTAATTTAAAGTTCCACAGTATATCAAAGGTAAAAAGAGTGAGAAAAGGAAACTGAGGACTGGTACATTCAAAATACCCGATTTATGCTTTGATAAAGGTTTCCATCTGAGTTTAAATCTGTAGATTCCCAAAGAAGGTGATGTGTCAGCTTTCATCTCACCTGCAGAAACATGGCATGCATTTAAAGCAGCACATGGCATGCATTTAAAGCAGCACATGGGTTATATATTTTGTTTAAAATAGGAAGCTAATCTTATCTAAGAGTATAAAATGTAATAAAGTTATATTAGGGGTAAAACTAAAAACATTCCACTGGATTTTAAAACCTTACCACACCGAAATTGTTTCAAATATTCTGATTCTAAATTTCACAATTATATAAAAATCTTACTTATGGCATCCAATTAGTCATTTTGTAGTGCAGTTTAGAAAACGAAAGCTGATGTCTAGAAGTGCCAACATTCATCCCATTTTGCTGATATTAGGGAACATTTGCATGTCTGTAAGCTTTCCGAAGTCACAGCAGACATCTGCACCTGGTGCCATCACAGAATAGGGAGCTCGGTCAGGTTGGGTATTGTTCTGGCCCATCATTATTATTATTCCCCAGAAAGACTAGAGCTTAGGATAGTTATAATGTGCTTCTCCTGTGTTCTCTATTGGCAAGGTATGAACATGCATATGTTCACTGTGATCTTTATTTGGGTGGATCATTTGGTGTAGTGATTGAACATAATTGTATAAGCACCACACCCCTGGTTAGTAGAATATGACAAAAGATGATAGGTGGGGCTTTTAAGGTGCTGCATGACAGAGCCAGAAAGGATCTTTACCTCATAATTGTATATCAATTGTTTTTTAAACATGATTAAAATTGGTAATAAAAGTAAAAATATATAGAAATTGTAACAGTATAACATTCATATTCCGATTTGTTTTTGATACATTGGATTAAACCTTCAAATACCACCCCTCAATTTTACTCCAACAGACTAAAGTAATGTATGATAAACGGACTAATGAAAAAGGTCAATTGAGGACTGGTCTGGAACGATGGGAAGGCTATACGATGCAAGACTTTCGGGAGTTAAGAGACTTAATGCAATTATTGGAGGAGGGAGAGGGAAGTGGAGATATATCTGATTATAACCTAGCGAATAATAAAGATGAGGTTGAAACATCTATGCCCATACCCTTTCTGAAATTTAAAAATAAATCAAACAAGTTCCCAGCATTACAGTTAAATCTAGTAGATCCTTTTATAGCTCTGTCATTCAGCACCTTAAAAGCCCCACCTATCATCTTTTGTCGTATGGTGTAGTTATTGAGAATATCGCTAGTTACCATAATAACCCATAGCGAAGGAAAATAGCACAACTTTTCCTTTGTAGAATCTGCAATGAAAGGACACAAACATATGGGGTTTTTTTTTAGCTATTTAAATCTTACAACCCTTTTGAACAGTTTCAGACATTTGAAAGAATATGTTGTAGATCTTCCACTATAAATGTAGATCTGACATTACAAAAATCATTGCTGTTTTTTATACAATTCACCACAATGTTATAGGCAGGAAACAGTAATTAGAGAACTGAAGGGAGGAATAACATTTTTCCCATTTAGTGCATTTGTTTCTCTCAAGGCGGGCCTGTTCCCTGCTCTTGGAAGACAACTGACCTGGCTTTCTGCCATCTCACAATTTTATTAGGTCTCCAAGGAGAGGACATGACTTGAAGAAACATAAGGGTTCTGTGTTTCAGGGCAGCAGTTCAGAGGTCAACTTTAAATCAAATTAACTTGTATCTGGATGTTTATAAAAGTGATTTTCTTCAGGAAACCATGTAACATAACAGTTATTTTTAACCCTGTTACCAGTAGTGAATGATTTACAGATATCTTCAGTTACAGTGATGACAGACAGGCTTTGAATAAAGCATCAGTCAATACCTTGAAATGTTGTGGAAGGATGTCAGTAGCATCTCAGTAGTGATTGCCTGTGGTCCTCAGTTGTCTGTACAAAATCACATTGTTTTCCAAAAGGGTGTAGATTCGTTCCAAGAAGCATTTCTAACCCTGTTACAGCTAAGGGTTTATGTACACATATATTTGTCGGCTTCTGTATTTATTTACTTCCTCGAACAAGTCAATATAAATGCAAAATCAATTTGAATTAAACCCAGAAGCAACTAGAGGCAGTTTAAAGCACAGTAGAAATAACTCAAAGCAACTCATCACCTATCCGTGAGCACGTCAAGCAAGCAAGTCAGTCTAAAAAACTGATCAATAGCAATAAAATGTTTACTGTGTTTGACTTGCTTTGGAGTCTGAAGCCTGCATATGCAAGCTGCAAGCCCTTGGTTAAAATGAACCCTAACTATGAATTCCTCTTATTTGCTCCTTTTGGGTCTGTCAAATATACCATTGAAAGCTTTTTGTTATTTCTGTGCGATAAGCGAAAAAATAACAGTTGATCCTGCAGGAAATCCAGTTTTGCACCTTGTGCATTCTGTAGTGTTACCTCAAACAGTATTATCTGTCTTTCCCAGTTTACCTCCATAACTACCCCCTAAATTATGGAGATGAAGAGTTCTGTAATCTTAACATACTTCCAGTACTAGGGTAATAATGCTGCTTCTGCATATATACAATACATTTAGTGAGCGTTGTAACCCTAGGACAGGAAGTGTGTTACTAGCAGGATCACCAGGTAAAATGAAGGAAAAAAGAATGAAAAACTGTATGAAAAACTAATGCAGCCACCAGATCTGAGGGCTAGTAAAGTTTAATATATGTATTTTTTGTTCTTGGATTTAGATACACTGTAAAAAAATTTTTTTGACCAATAGGATGCTGGTCAGTGAACTTTTTTTGCTATCTACAAATGCACGGCAAGCATACTCCAGTGGCTTTTTGCTCTATTTGATGGCTTCTTTTTTATTTGCTAATTGCAATTGTTTTATGAGGCTCAGATCTTATCCACTGCTTTGCTGGTTGATACCGGTCCACTGACAGTAATCAGCAGCTGGGAAACAATGTCACAGGCTCCCAGGTTCCTTGCAATGACCATAGGTATTAACTGACAGTTCAGTTAAAGTGTGTGTACACATATGTGTGTGCAGTCTTTTCTGCAGCCTCTTGTGTATACTATCGCATTCATGATGAGCATGCATCTGCCAGACCTCCCGATTTTCTGAGATGAGAAAGAGGAACAGTGTATTTAGAATTTATATGCCAAAAATGATTGGTTAAACCCAGAATTGTTTTTTTTTTTTTCACCATTACTTTTCTTAATTAAGAGATAAGATAAAGGTTTTAATACTTTCGACAGGTAGAACCTTTTTATAGATATCTATATCAGACCAAAAATATGCACAACTGAGGAGGAAAAGGAGATAGGGGGATTTGGTTTAAAATAAGGGACAGTCCCTCTAAACGAGGGACAGTTCGGAGGTATGATCTCCCCTTAATTAGCAATAGTAGAATCTTAGTGTACAACAACACAGGATGTACACAGAATAGTACGGGATACACATATGTTCATATGCACAAAAAGGCATCAGACTTAACTGTTAGACACTCTTAAATAGACTGGCATGCTGTAAAAATATGCTGTATTTTCAGGGGAAAAATGACATTGCTTGACAAGCTTGCTTCACCCCATCTTTTCATGTTAATGAGTTGACTTTCTCATTTTAAATGATTAATGGGGACTACTTAATGCTTCACATCTGATTGAAAGAATAAGAATCTGTTCATCTGGCATCTGACTTCATCAAAGCTCAATTAACCTTATCAAACGTTTGGAATATTCATAGTCGATGTCTGGATTTTCATTGAACCATTAATTTATGATATTCACAGATCAATATGCTTTTATCCTTCAACAGCTGAATTATCTAGCAGTATGCACATTTTATTTTATGTTACTGTGTTTGTTGTTGACATTTTATAACATCAGGAGGTATCATTAATTACATCACTGTATTTAAATTGTAGTGATCTCATCAAAAGATAATGCTAACATTGGTGAATGATGTGTCATTGATTTAATAACAATTCAACACTAAAAAATAACTTTATCAAAGAAATGTGTTCTCTAAACTTGTGTACATTATTCTGGGTTCTGGACCTCTTACTTTAGACCTTCATAGAACTTTGTGGTAGCATGGTTCCCCAGAATGACTTGAGAAGAAACATCTGGATGTCACAAGGCCTAGAACTGCATAAGAGGCATCTTATATACCTTTGACTGTTTCCTCTTATTACTTTTGATTTTGCAAATAAGTATTAACTCTTTTAGCCCAAACACCCATCCCTTCTTATTTCCCTCTCAATATCCATGAAGCTCGTCCATGCTTCACAAATGAGTGAGCCACTGACCTGAACAGGCATGCATCCAGAAATGATTTGTTTAATGATACTTCATATATTTATGTTGTTGAGCAACTGGGTGATTATCAAGGAGGAACTTTACCCACCAATCTAATCTCTCCCAAAACAGTTACTTTTAAGGCATGACAACTATGAAGGTTGCCAGTGTGTTTATTTTAGGTCTCAACCAAAGTTTCAAGCCCTCAAATGGCTGGTGTCATAGCTGATCACATGTGCAGCACCATGGCAACTGCAATCAAAATAGAGGCTAGGATGGAATCTTCTTTGGCTGTACAGCATAGGGGGGTGAAGTTCCACTTTAATTTGAATTAGCTAAGATTTTCTATATGTTCTGCAGCTGATCTCCAGATTTGTTATTATATTGGCTAATCTACTGATGGAGGACTATTAACATTAACTTATGTTTCTCCTTAAAAATATTTATGGTGACTGTATTTTTCTGCAGCGTAATTGAAAAAGAAAAAAATGGAAATTTCTCATTAATGAAAACTTTATTGTAGTTAGTGATACCTCTGCTTTAATATCTTCACCCACTACAGTATGATTCAGGTTTTTCTTGGAAAAGTAAACTGTTTTGCCATACTATAATATCAAATGTGATATAAAGCTGATACTGTTAACATCCACCTCAACACATTCTTTGATGATTTGAGCTTCATCGTTCTCATCACATTTGAATTGCTATAAATGACACTTAACTCACGGTCAAGTTGGCTAGGGTAGGGCTCCAAATTTGTATCTGCATCACAGTACAAATGGCCATCACTCATTATAATCAAAAGCAGTCTTAGAATTATATAGATATGTACATATCTATATAAATAATATTTTTACAGGATTCTCTAAGAACTCCCTGCTGTGTACAGTGTAATACCCTCATGAGTGCAGGCTCATACGTCCATAGGAACCATATAAAGATTTAGAAAACTTGTAATCCACGATTTTTTAGTAGCTATATATGGAGTTCTCTAAAAGCTTACCTGAATTGAAGACTGACAGGCCAATTTCACACAAACACCAATATTTCAGTTTTGATTGGGCAGTGGTGGTTGAACAACTTGCACTTATAGCTCACATTTACTCCTGCAGCAAAACATTCTCCAAAGTGTGTGTGTCTCCACCACTTCTACAAGGCTATATAACAACTGATAAAAACAAATTATTAGTTGGTCCATAACATGGACCCTGCCCACCCTTCCCCACAGCAGTGCAACATCTTTATTGAGATTCCTAATGATCACTGGAAGAATTATATTAGTGCTGATTCATTAGAGTGAAGGGAATACATGTAAAATATCTTCAACAGCAGTACACCTGGTTCATTCCTGCAAATTGTTTTGAAATGAGAAGATCATATCATCTGCATTATGTTTAATATAGCTCTTTATTTTGTAGATTTCCAAATGAAAGATGTTTCTTTATTAATGAAAGATCTTTCTTTACCACCTGATAATGCCATCAGAGACTCGACGAATGTTGAACAAAACTTTGGGGGTTTTTTACATTCGATTTTGGGATGAATGGAGTTTCCAGAATGAAAACCGCATACACTGTTCGTTCTGGAAAAATGTTCCATCCTGTTCCTTCGAGTTTTTTCATCACTATGTTTGAAATCGTTCATTGATTTGACCCCATCAACTAACAGAAAGTCGAATGAAAGATATTTTGTACAAATGTTCGTTCGGGAATCTACTGGTGTATGGCCAGCTTAAGAATACATTTAGGTATATATTAATGGTTACAGAGCTACAAATTTGTGTGCCTTTTATATCTGTCTGGAGTTCAGCTTTAACCTGTGAATATAAGGATCAGAAGACCATAGGTTTTCTAATCCACCTTTTTAAAAACATAGTGGAGGTATAACAAAATATATATATTTCATCTATACTATAATACCACCTGGTTCTAATTGGGTACAACTTTGGCCCCTGACCATTCAAAAAGAAATGCACAGCACACAATGACCAGGGCTACAGTTCTACCCAGAGGCATGCTAGAATCTCAGCTTAGTCTAGCTAAAGAAAATTATAATCAACTCCTGTTAAGTAGACTTTATGACTGTAGCACATTGACAATATTTCTGGGATAGCATTGGAAATGTTTGACTGTACTTCTTTCCTGTCTAATATCAAAGCTTTGGGTGAAGATATATTTGGAATGTTATTTTTTATTGAGCACATTTTATAATGGATCTCTAAAGTTCTTTTCTTTTTTTTTTTCTTTAATTTTTTGCACTTTGTTCCCTCACCATTATTTTTCCAAAACAGTCACTATTAACTACCACCACTTAGCTGCCAGTCGCTCTGTCTCTATTGACGATGACGAGGAAGAAGAAGATAGGCTTCACGCCATGCTATCCATGATCTCCTCTCGGAACCTCACAGCTCCTAAAATGATGAAAGGTTTTTATCCAACTTCCCTCTTGAACCCTGCTACGTCTTGCTTAAAGAAGGCGATGTTTCCCATTTGACAAATCATGACAACGGTGGTGGCATTATCAGGCATAGAGAATAATTCAGCACTACACAGTGTTACTGGTTTAGTCTGCTCTGCTAAATACTAAGTGTACACAGCTTACAGTAATAATCCATACACAGCACGTAAGAGAATGGTACTGACAGCAGATATTTTGTTTGTTATTCTTACGTCTATATGATACATTAGGAGCTGTAGGATCTCACTTCTATCCTAAAGAAAGACTATATCATGGTAGGGTATATTATGGATTTTAACTGGCTAGACAAAGCACTTTGTAGTTCGCAGTGCTTTCCATATTAAAGTGACTCTGTCAAAAGTTTGAAACAAATTACTCCCTGCAAAGCAAGCAATTAACACTTACATGTGCCACTACCCTCTAGGTTGGAGCGAGAAGCTTGATTAAGATTTTCAGCATCCAACACATTTCCAGGAGTGTTGATATCTGGTCCCCTGCTGTTCATTGTGATTCTTTCCACCAGTCTGTGTTCTGTAGTGAAGTAGGAGCTGGTGGAGGAAACCACAGAGTACAGCAGGGAGCACTGGCATCTGACACTACAGGAAGTTTTGAATACAGAAGAACTTTGAGCAAGGTTCTCTCTTCAACAAGTGGAGTTTTGCGTGCAGGTAGCAGGAAAGGTATTCATTGATGGCTTTGTAGGGAGGAATTTGTTTCAGGTTTCCCTTTAATCACAGGGTCCTAGTTAGACTTTAGGCTGCCCTTGGCACATAATATTGATGACTACTTTTGCAAAAGCTCATTTGCTTGTGTCAAGTGATTTTTTTATTTTAAAAAAGCCTGTAAAAACTGATGGAGTGTCTTTGAATCCCTGAAATGTGCTGGATTTTTATAAGACATAAAAATCAGAATAAAATTAAATTTGCACTTTATACATTCTGCTTTTGATGCTTTCCTCCTTGCATACCAAGTCCCTACTCAAGCAAATAGCCTACCTTTGGCCACCACAGTCTAAGTGGAATCATTCACTGTATACTGCTTATTATCTGAGTAAGAATACCTGCTGCTTTAACAGATCCAGAGCCCCACACCTTTCTTCCCTGCTGCGTAAAACAGGGCAGGTTAGTTTCTCCTTTTCATGTGTCCAATATATAGCATTACAGAATAAACATAAAAATTTTATTGGTTTCCTGATCAATATAGGTTTTAAAAACTATTCTTTCTATAGACACGCATGAAGTAAATTAATTCCTACCATGTAAATACATGCGTTGCTCAGCAGTCTTTATTACAACCATCTGGAATGTAAATGAAGAAAAATGTTTTCATTAGATGCTATCTGACCCATATATGTTTGCGTCATTGCAATTTAAAAGGCATTGACTGGAGTGGAAGGTTATACAGTAATTTTCTTCCCTCTCTTAGCACACTATGGATATAGCTTTGGCGGACATATCGCATAATTAGTAAAACTGGCTTGGCCTGTGTAACCTTTCTGGCAGTGACTTAGTTAAGCAGAGGTTTTAAGAAAACTGCAGTTACCTTCTCCATGTCTCCATGCTCCACAATTCTCGTTCCCACAACTGCACATTAATGATGACCCCGTGTAATGAGACATATGGTTTGTGGCCACCTTTTGGTGGAACACCATTAATTTTCTAGACCATCTCATTAAACTGAAAAATGTATATATATTGCTGAAATCACAGAAAAATTAATGCATTACATTTCTAGCTTTATTTTTAACTGTTATGTGTATATTATTATAGGCAGTTTTACAAAATCCTTATCTAGTGGTAAATAACGCTAAGTGTGATGATGTCTGTAGACTTTGCTCAGAAAATATATATACATACATAGAAGAAGTACAAATAGTCCTGAATTTTGTACAATATATTATTTCAAATATATAATAAAATACAACTAAAGTCCAAATTTTAGAACAATTTGTGAACACAGATTAGTTAGTGGGGGGCTGGGCATGTCCATATATGGCTACTTTGTAGCAGGCTATTGGGGGTCGATAGGGTTGGGAATTAAAGTAGTATTTCAACTCTTGAAACTTTTTTTCCAATAATGCACAGCAAAATACTCCTTTATATTTTTGCCCAAGCAATTACAGTCTTCATTTTTCCAAAAAGCTGGCTCCAACTTTCTTAACTCCTGTCCAGTACAAGATCACAAGAGACTGCAGTCTCCAGCAGCTTTCCATCTACTAGCTTGGGGAAGGGGGGAGGGGAATGGCTTATCTTTTGCCGTACCTGTGTGTTTATGGAGACTCCAACATCTTACTAGGACACACAAGGATGGCTCCATAGAACTCTGCAAGGGAAAGGAGCCACCCTAAAACAGGATATCAGGGCAAGTGCTCAGGGGACCATCTGATTCTGCAGGAATTGTTAAATATCAACATCATTACTTGAATCCATTGACTTAATCAGCATATGAAAGAGCTTAAAAACATTTTAACTTGAATACCGCTTTAAAGCACAACTTCTGCCAAAACTTTTCAATGTGATTCTTTTATTGCATGTTAAAAAGTTTGAGCCTTTCTCAGATTTTATTGCTCTGTGTTCCTGTTGAGGAAAATTGTGTTTGCTCCCTCTCAACACAGGAAGTGATAGGAAATTATGTAATCTTGTAGGCATTTTTTTTCTAGCACAGGCCCTCATCCCATCACTACTAAACATGGTTATATATTAAATCCCGTATAGAAAACTAACATAGGCTCTAGATTATTTTCATATTTTTTGTATATGGACGAAGAAGAAATTTACAATTCAACAGCATTTCTGTCAATATTGACTATTCAAACATTTTTCTTTAGGTAATGTAATTTCATTCTGCAAGACTAGTTTATAAAAATCTCAGATAATAATAATACAGTGAAAATACTGTAGATTCCCTTAGTCTAAGACTGGCATTTTAACTTTGGGTGGATTTATGCAGGTTAAATCAATCATCCAGAACTGGAGCGGTAAGATCTCTTCCCCTCCCAGTTCACCTACTTCCTGCAAAGCAGTATGAAGGATCAATGTAAGTACATTATTGAGCATGCAGCAGATACAGTGAAATGTGACTTAAAGTAGTATTAAAGGATGGGTGATTTTTGCCTTAATGCATTCTCTGTATCAAGGCAAAATACACCCAGCACCTTTGTAACAACCCCCCCCCCCCCCCCCCACACTTACCTGCAGTCATTTATCTCCTCCGCCATGACCAGGAAGATACACGGGTTTCCCAGAACGTCCTGGTTGTGGGGGAGCATCAAGCTGTGACAGCAGGATCAGGGCGTTGTTGTCCGTACTCGCAGATACCAAATACCGATACCAGAAGTCTCATTAAGGAAGCCAGGCAGCATGTAATGACTTGCCACGCGGCTTCCTGATTAGCCGGGAAGCCGGGCGGCGTGTAAAGACTTGCCACCCGGCTTCCCGATCAGCAGGGAAGCTGTCCCCTGTGTGACGAGAAAGCCGGCTTCATGCTCCCTCATCCCCTCATGACGAGAAAGCATGGAGCCGGTTTTCTGGCCAATCAGGAAGTCGGGAGCCGTGTAATGACGCGGCGCCCAGCTTCCTGATTGGCCAGAAAACCGGCTCCATGCTTTCTCGTCATGAGGGGATGAGGGAGCATGAAGCCAGCTTCCCGGGCCAATCAGGAAGCCAGGCAGCGAGTCATTGCGTTCAGGATACCACTTGAGAATGCGGTAATTAAGAAAAAAAAGGAGAGAATAACTTTTTTTTTGCATGTTTGGCCATCATAAAAAAGAAATTAAAAAATAAGTTTTAATGTTGCTTTAATAATGACCAGTCATGGAAAAATCAGGAAATCCTCCAGGAAGGGGCTGATCTTACCTTGGAGTCACTGATTGCTATAAGAAGATAGTAGGTGATTTAAAGTGTATTTCTAGGCAAAACCTTTTTTATTTTGGATAGAGTGATACATATTAAAACCCTCTGTCAAGTTTTTGTTACTGTCTGAGTCCCCATTTGGGATATTAACCCCTCTGTTTTTAATAGTGACCATTGTCACCAAGAAGAAAGTAAAGGAAATCTAAAATGTGTCCCCAAAACGAGAGGTGTAGGGAAATCTTCCAATGGGGACACTTTTTCCAGTGACAACAGACTAAGAGGAGAATTCCCCTTGCTTTGGGAGATTTCCTCTAACTTCCTGTTGTGTCTCTGGAATAGAAAGTGAAGGGAAATTTCCCCAGTAATACAAACGTAGAAGAAACCTGGCAGCGGTTTACTCTTCACTACTCTTTCCAGAACTAAAAAAGGTTTATACATACACTGTAACCACCCCGCTTTGTTAGTTTTAGGTGAAATTAGCTTTTATACATGTTTCATTGTACAGGTTAAAGGATATCTCTTGAGCATGAATAGCAAATATATATTTAACAAGTTGGGATATGTATTCAGCAGGCAGCCTAAACCAAACTTCTTTGCTTTCCCCTTATACACCTAATTATGCCACATCATAGAACACGCCTATAGATGATACAATTGCAGCATGGAAGGCTTATGGTTGCATTGACCACTGATGAACTGCTCAGAATGGAGACACTTGTATGCATACGTTGTGCCCTTGCCTGACGATAATGACATCACTGTTGTTACAGGGTTTGCTTTCCCTTGTCTGCTGGTGTTTGCAACATGCTCGACCTTTGCATGTGGCCAATTTTGCAGCTTCCCAAACAAATGATGAATGGAGCAAAATAATGAGGATGCTGTTCACTTATAATTCTTCAACGACTGCGGTACCTTTCATCTGGATCTTTAGGTTCTGTGGGGTTCTGATTTTACATTTTGTAAACTTTTATTTATAAATTTCCTTTTTTTTCACACTTGGTTACTTTTTATTTTTTGATACTTTTTTTTTTCTTGGGCCCTTTCAATTATTGGTATTACCTTAATCCAAACAATTGTGGCACATGGTGGTGGGGGGCATCTTGTTCTTTTATACAAT